GGGCTGCAGCGACTGCCACGACAGGAAGGCCGCGGCCGTGACGATGGGAACAGGGTGACGGCCGGTGACCAGCCACGTCTCGCTGGCCAGCTCCACGATCTGCATCGTTCGGGTGACCATCTTCTCCTTGTCCTCCACAAAGGGGGCAGGGATGTCAGCCGCATGCTGGAACAGCCGAAAACTGCAAGAACAAAGAGCCCATCGCTAGCACCAGGGCACAGGGGAGCCTCAGAGAAGAATCACAGCCCAGACTGTGACAAGGGTGGCAAAAAAGCCATCACGGCCTGTGAAAACCCCAGCACACAGGCGGGCTGTCGCCCCCAGACCATCAGCGAACACCAGTCCTGTTCATTCGGCTGCCCACGTCCGCCTCTGGGCTGCTCTGCTGTACTGCAATGGCTGGATGGAGTGAGAACTCGATGATGTTTGTCATTCAAGGGACAACCAAGCACGCTCCCAGATCACAAATTTTAGATGCTGTTGCACCAGTAGTGCCACCCAGCCTAATGGACTCCCCGTAGATATGCCCCCCCAGCACCCAGGGCTGCGCACTGCCCGAGGGAATACTTTTCCGGATGATCTGGTTTTGCCTTAGAGCACTCAGCAGCAGCATGGCTATGTAACAGCGCAGGTCACCCGTCTGTGCCTGGGGACGGCTGCCCCAGCCACAGCTGCGTTTCAGAAGCTTTTCCACCCACAGTGTCAAACGCAGGACTCTGAAATGGCTGCAAGGGGCCCCGTTACCTGTTCAGGTGCGTCTTCACCAGATCCCCCAGGCTCAGGGCCGGCACAGAGAGCCCGAGCTCTTTCTGAAGGCTCAGGTAGACACTGGCAAACAGCTCCTGCTTGGCGTAAAGGAGGGAGCAGATAGTCCCCATCGTCAGCGGCCAGTTGTGCTGTCGACAAGTCACGAAGACACAGCAGCCCCCCAGGAGCTCCTTCTTCTCCAGACTGACCAGGTGGAAGGAGGGGTGCTGCAGAGCTCTCTGGAAGTACGACACTGCCGTTTCCTCAAACACCGTCGGGAGCTGGAGGACTTTACAGAGATCCCGGACCCGCCTGATCCCTGCGAGAAGACACCACCCGTAAAGCTCAGCTCAAGCAGCTTCTGATACAACCATCTCAATATTACACTGCTGCCAGCGATCACCCTGCCCCGTGAGAGCAGCCCCGTGCCCGCAGCCCTGCAGACAGCACGCAAAGATCCCCCACATCCCTTCGTGCCGGCGAGGCAGTTAGCTGGAGACGCAGAACTGACTGCCTTCTCCACGCTTAACTGCCAGGTCTGAAGGTTTTTGCCGTTTCAGAGAGCATTAGAAACATGTTAAACAAACTTGAGCAGCAGCAAGAGAGAACCAGGGTGGGAAGGAAACCAGACGGCACGCTCTTACCTCGCTGCAGGCAGCGGCTCTGCTGCTCCTTCTGGCCAGTGCTTTGGGAATACGCCACCTCTGAAAAACAGGCAGTGTTAGGCCAGTGACTCGGGGGGCCGGTGTCATTTAGATTTTGGGCAACCAGATGCCCATGGTCCTGGATTTCAGTTATCAGAACCGACAGGTCTTTGAGGCCACAGAACAAGAGCTGGCAGCAGAGGTTAAGCGACGGTGAGGAGCAGGAGCCATCGCTGCTCTACAAACAGAACCAGCAAACGGCCTCGGGGCTGCTCCACTACACTTACAAGAGATTTCAGTGCCAAAGAGCCGCTCACCACCGGTTCCAAGCCTAAAACCTGGCAGGGAAGTGCTGTCGGTCCGACCCTTATAATGGAACAACCATGCCGGCCTTTCGCTGAGGGAGGAGGGGGATAAAAAGGG